ACAGGTTTGGATTCAGTTTATTTTTAATTAAGAAACTTGGTTGTGGTTTATTTAAGTTTATTTTATTTCAAACTACATGAATTAATGCCATTGTGCTTCAATATTGCTGTATATGTTATGTATATCCGTCTCGAAGGATATATTGGATTAAATCAAATGTGACAAGAAGTGACGAGTGGCACTTTCAATGGTGCTAACTAACTCTACTGTAAATGATATACTCCCTCCGTCCCATAATTATTGTACTAAAAGTGAAATCTCAAATTGGACAATAATTATGGGACGGAGGGAGTATAAAGATAATTAAAATCAATGCTTAGTTATATATACACACAAAATTTATAAGATACTGCTATCAACTGCTGAAAAAAATTCTGAGATACGGAAGTCAACCACAAGAAGTAACCATGAGCTTAAGGATCACCATCAATTTAGTTCGTTTTGCAATTTTCTATTCTTTATATTTAGTTGTTAAAATATAGTTATTGAATGAAATATTTAAGTCATCTATATATACCTCCTCAAAAGAGGAGAAACATGCATTGGTTTGGACAAAAAACCACTTCAACGATAATTAAGTTATGTGAAGAAACATAGACCCATATATATGTATTAACGTTAGCAGGCTCAAGAAAATCCCTAGGAAGAAAGTCGTGAAAGCAAGAGTTCTTAGATAACAAAGATACCAAAATTTTTTTTTTTTTTTAAAAGTGTACCTGCTTATATTAATTAAAGGGAGTCTAAACTATTACATTTAGCTAGATTATATGCTATATTATGCATCTCATTTACTATATCCCTAGGAACTTTAGTTATAGAAAAAGAAAGAAAAGACTTGGAAATGGTACTAATCTCAGCAATTAATTGCTGAACTTCAACCGGTGATTGATCAGGAATCAATTTGTTTGCTAAGAACTCACAATCCGTAATCACAAGGATGTGTTGGATGTTCATACTTGCAGCTTCTTGTATGGCATAAATCAGGGTATGGGCTTCTGCTTGTAGAGGAGTAAGTGCAGGGAATTTTTGAGATTTAATTTGCTGAATCATCCCCTGATTTGTGGTGATTTTCCATGCTCCCGCCGCTTGCATTGATATCGGAAAAAAAGATCCATCTAGCATGATAGTATGCCCATGTGAAGCTATGTTGAAGTCATCCATCCCTGCTATCTCCTCTGTTTGGCTCAAATTGCCCCAATTTCGGTTCTATTCTTTCTTACAAAGATTGAGATGAAGGTTGTAATTTTGTTTGATTATATTCCACATCCTTGTACAATCTTCATGTCGATCTCCCTGTTGTGGACGTCAAACTTGATTATTTTGCTCTTTCCAAATTTTCCATAGAACAAAGATTGATAACTCAATTGCCATTGCATCAGGAGCTGTTTTGAGCCACTCCATGAACCAGTCTTTGAAGGGGATGGCTTGACCTCTGTCGAAATTAAAACCTAAGCTCGTAACTCTCCAAAGCCTCCTTGATGATGGACATTCCAGGAATAGATGTGAAGCATCCTCTGATTGTAACTGACATCTCGGACATAAGCCCTCTTCTATTACTCCTCTTTTTAGCAACCCTTGTTTTGTTGGAAGTGCGTTATGAATTCCTCGCCAAACAAAGAGTTTCATTTTTGGAGGTATCTTGGTTTTCCACAATTTTTTCCACACAGCCTTCTCTTGATTTATGGCAATTAAGTCCAATGGGTGTGCTTTATTATAAGCTACCTTGTAGCCTGATTTAACAGTGTACATGCCATGTTCCGTTTCTGTCCAAAGTAGCCTGTCATCCTCTTCTCTCCGCGTTGAATCAATGTGGATCCCCTGGATAAAAGGCAATATCATGGGGGGGGGGGGAAGATCTTTCTAAGAAGTGATATTTTCCAGGAGCCATTTGCGTTAAACAAGTTGACAACTTTTAAGTCAGTGTTTGTTGCCAGGATGGAATCACTAGCAATTAGATTGTCCCTTGATGGGATCCAGTTATCACTTATCTTAATGATGTTTCCCGAAATTACTCTCCATTTGATCTTCCCTTTTAATAACTCATAGCCCCATAAGATACTTCTGAATCCCCATGATAGGGGTGTACCTTTCTCAGGGACTATGAAGCTTTTTCCCTTGCAGTATTTACCTCGAAAGAAGCGTGATATGAGGGAATTTGGAGCAGAGAGTATTTTCCAAGCATGCTTGGTGAGTAGAGCTTGATTAAATTCCTCCGTCGATTTGAGTCCTAACCCTCCATGCAATGTCGATTTACACACCTTATCCCATGATCTCCAATTTATGCCTCGACTTTCATAGTCACCACACCAGATGAATTTATCTAAGATCTAATTTGCCTTTTTTAGGGTGTCCTTTGGCAACTTGAAAACACCCAAAGGGCAGACTAGCATTGAAGAGAGAGTCGACTTTGCTAATGTGACTCTACCCGGCAAAGATAACAGCTTAATTTGTCTTCCAATCCCCCAATTTGTTAGTCAGCTTGCTTGTGAACTGCGCAAAAATGAGTCTCTTCTTTCCTCAAAATTCAGACTCATCCCAAGATATTTGCTCTGAAAATTAGTAGACTGAATGCCAAGTGTTTGATGTAGTAGCTCTTTCTGCTCTTGTGTAGTATTATAACTCAGTAGAATTGAGGACTTGGTATGATTTATTTTCTGACCCGACAGTCTGGCATATTGAGAGATCACATGAGCCAGAGCTTTGACAGATGATTCTTTGCATTCAAGAAAGAACAAGCTGTCATCTGCATACATCAGATGACTTATTCTTGGAGTAGCTTTACTAATCTTGATACCGAGTCCAGGTAGTCTCCTAATTTCCGCTCTTATAGCCGATGATAATGCCTGTTGGCAAAGGATAAACATGTATGTGAGAGAGGATACCCTTGCCCGAGACCTCTATTTGGCTGGAAAAATGCTGAATTCTCCCCATTAAATAAGATTGAGTAGGATACTATGGTGACACAATGCATGATCAATTGAACCAACCAAACAGGAAATCCCAACTTATTTAAAACCTCTTTGAGAAAGCTCCATGATACTCTATCATATGCTTTACTCATGTCCACCTTGATTGCTGCCACACCTGTTTTGCCTTTCCTTTTTTTGATGTATTCCACTACTTCATGTGCGATCAGGATATTCTCACTAATGTTCCTTCCTGGCACAAATCCGTTCTGGTGGTCATCTATCAGATCATTCATGACAGCTTTAAATCTCGCTATGATCATCTTTGTTATGATCTTGTACTTGACGTTACAAAGGCTGATTGGTCTGAAATCATTTGGCATTGTTGGATTTGCTGTCTTTGGTATGAGGACCAGATTGGTCTGATTCCATTCCTCTGGGAATTCTTCCTTTTGTGTCACCTCCAATATGGCATGAACTACCTCCGTTTTGATTTCTCGCCAGTAGGTTTGGTAAAAACCCGCTGGCATACCATCCGGCCCTCGTGACTTCCATGGTGCCATTTGCTTAACAGCATGCCAGATTTCTTCTTCTGTGAAAGGGCTTCCCAGAAGTTGTTATTGTTCCTCTGATAAGGTTTCCTCCATTATGGCCAGCAAGTCTCCTACATTTAGATCTTCCCTACCTGGAACATATAATTTGTTAGGAGTAGTGTAAATATCCGAAAAATGTTGATCAATTTGCAACCTTATATGCTCCTACTCTTGTATCCAATTCCCCTCTTGGTCTAACAATTCTGTAATCTATTTATTGCCTTTTTTCCTGGATGCCCATTTTTTGCAGAACTTTGTATTCTTATCCCCTTGTATTGGCCATATCAATTTAGATCTTTGCCTCCAGTAGTCTTCCAGCATTACAAGAGCCTGTTCCATTGCTTGTTTGAGCTCTATAAGTTTTTCATGAGCCTGTGATTGATTCTTATGTTCCTCCCAGTATTGTTGCTGAAGTTCCACCTCCCTAAGCAATTTCTGAACATATATATCAATGCCACTAAAACTTTCTTTACTCCAGCTGTGTAAATGTTGTAAACATCTGCTCAATTTGAAGGACATGCTTCTTTGTAGGTCATGATCCTGTTGTGGGTTCTGTTGCCAATGTTGACTTACAATCTACTTTGCCTTGTCACATCTCACCGAGAATTGCTCAAACATTCTTTTCTGTTTTTTCTTATGTTTTTGCTCTTTCAGGTCCACTAAAATGGGACCATGATCAGACTTCAGAATGGGGAGATTCCTGATTATAGCTTTGTTGAAGAAACTGAGCCAAGCTTTGTTGACAAAAGCCCTATCCAATCTCTCATATATGAGGCTATCTCCTTGTCTATTATTAGTCCATGTATACCAACATCCAAGATGTCTGAGTTCTCCCAAAATCATGCTTTCTCAAAAAAGTCTTGATACAGTTAGTGTCTGCTTCTTTGACTGGTCTGCCTCCATATTTTTCTTCTTGATTAATGCCTTGATTGAAATCTCCTAATAGAATACTAGGATACGATAAAAGACTGAGTGTGCTATTCAGATCAAGCCAAAATTTGGTTCTCCCCTGTCTAGAAGGAAAACCATACAGAAATATAGCAACCCATTCTAGTCCTGCCACTTCTACTACCTTAACTGCTATTACATTTTCATTTTTGGCCAGCAGGGTCAAAGAGATTCCATCTACCCAAAATAAGGCTAATCCTCCCATGGTTCCTATTGGATCCACCAAAATGAAGTGCCTATAACTAGTCCCTTGCTGCCATTTAACCATACTACTAGCTACCATCTTAGTCTCCATAAAAAATAACATACTAGGGTTATATTGCTTCATTAATTTACATAATACTTGCTTAGTGGGGCTTCTGTTCATGCCCCTGCAGTTCCAGCTCAGTATTCTCATGGAGACAGAGGCAGCTGTTTTGGATCAACCACCGACAAGTCCCTTCAGTGCTTCCTGCATTGTCAATTGGCTGTCAAAAAACGAAATCAAATTAGACATAGTTAAAATGCTCCTTCTGTGGCCCTCCTGACACTGAGCTTTGTTTCCCAGCTGGTGCTACTCCTCTTCTGTCACCTCCCTTGGTCTTTTGATCACAGTAGTAGTCTCCTTGGCCTCATTTCCTACCAACACATCACTTCTCACTATCATATTTTCCTTGGCCATCAGTCTCTTCCATTTCTTCAGTCTCTCCAGGGTCCTGTGAGGCTGATAATTTGGCACAGTCAGGGACTGATCTGTTGCTAAAGTTCCTTTGATCCTTAGCTCCTTCTGATACAGTAGCATTTGCCTTCCTCGCTTCTGTTGTGCTTTCCTAGCCATGAAACTCATTCCTTGCCACTTAAAGTTCCTCCCCACCAGAGTCTTTGCTTCCTGTATCCCCTTTCCCTGTCTCTTACTAGAACTATCATGACGATGTTCTGTGATCCCAATCACCTTCTTCTCAGTCCTCTCCCCCAATTGTGGCCAAGACAGAATAATGGCCTTCTCCATGCTGTTAATTTCATCACCAGCTACTAGCAGCCTGCTGAAGTACTGTGCTGCTTGTTCTTCCAGTTGATATTGTGCTTCTGCCTCTTCCATCTGTGGAGCTACTAGACTCTCTGCCTCCACTTCTTTGACCACCAGTTCATTCTCCATATCAAACAATGTGTCTTGATCGGCCTGAACTATACTAGTCTTAGCATTACAAAAAAAACCCCCATGATCTCCACCACACAGGAAGGCTATCCATGGTACCCACAATTAACTCCCTATCCTCAGCTATAGTGTTTAAATCCCCTATACCAGGAGACGGTACATCAGCACTGTGTTCCTCCACTGACAATACATTCGAATTTCTAGGAATCTGACTATTAACTAACACAGAAGGATCAACATTTGAAACAACACCAACAAAATTCTCCAAACCATTAGTCTCCTGAAGTTGATCCTCAGTAGATATCAGGTTACTTAAAGGTGAGAAGTTTTCCTGTGTTAGCTCTAGCATACTGTGATTAGGCAACATGTCTCGAGGTAATACATTAAAAGAAGGAAAAGAGAGCACACTATTGGGTGAGTTACCTTTAGCCGCAGAGCCTAGTGGAGAGGAAGCTGCAGATCCTTCATGAAAACCATTTTCCTGAGGACCTCCGTCATTAAGAAAGCCATTACCAAATCTGTGCTCCACCTCCATGTCCTCCTGGTCCTCCTCTTGGCCATCATCTGGTGGTCCATTGTCCGAGCCCTCTGGACCGTCTGGATCCTCATGATTCTCCTCTTCATCATTCTGGTCATCATTGTGATCTTCATCATCATCACTCGGGGAGAGATCAATATCCATTGCATGAAAACCCTGATCCCCATTCATCGTGATTCTGAAGTCGTCATTTACCCGTTCTTCCTCAATAAAAGCGTAATAAGACCTCGTTCTATTCAAAAACACTGTTGTCAGTCTGGTACATCTTCTGTTTTTATGCCCATTCGCTCTCATTGTCTCTGGAAACATTTCTCGAAGCTCATTCCCATACATCTGAGTATTATTTCTTTCTGCTTGAGCCCTAAAGTAGTCAGTGGGGAAAGCCTCTAATGCTACATCAGAGACTATCATACACTTATGATTGGGGTGTCCCAACCTACCACATCTCCTACAAAATTTATGCAGCCTTTCATATCTGCATTCCACTAAATTTGGCGTACCTGTAGAGGATGTGGTATGAAAAGCTGGTGTTAGTGGGTTACTTGCCTCAATCCAGATCTTAGCTCGCAAATACGTTGCCTTCTGAAGCGCAAAATAATCTTCTTTGATCTTTTCCACCTCCCCCCAACATTTCGACTAGTTCACGAGCTCCTCTCTAGTTGAAATTCAGCAGTGGAGTTTTGTGGGGCCGAACCAAGATTGATAATTTTGTGATCCGAACCCTATCCAGGACTAAATCATTATCAGCATACCATCTTCACAGTATCAGCAATCCACCATACACTGTATATGGTCCGTTGTCCAGAACCGCCAGGAGATCTAGCTTGCTTACAAATCTAATCACAAAAAAATTGCGATCATAATGTACAACCCTTGTATATAAAGCCCAGTTCCTGTTGATGTAGTTCTGCAGTTGTTCACCATTAAAGTATATCATCGATGAGATACCATATTAAAGAAAGAGATTGATATTCCGCCGAGAACTCCTCTACTGCGGCTGAGATCTGCTTGTTGAGAACCCGCATGTGGGGTCTATAGATCATATTTGGCGGCACATCTTGTTTTGGATTGTAATTCCTCATCTCCTCTGAAAACTCAGACCCTTGAGGAGTGTAAACACTAGAAAATGAATTTACACTTGCATGTGAATAAGACATGCTTATCGCTTATTTTTAAAAGACCAGATCTGGCCCTTGGAAAGGTTTTACTAGAAATAAATGCTTCTGTTGACCCACCAAGTGAGCTTGATCATTTCCTCAAGTACAGGTAACTGGACATTTAAGTTCTTGCGAAGTTTACAACCTTTGCATGCATCAGAAGGACTTTGGAAACGGTTTAATTCTTCTGAGGAAAAGGAAAGGTGCTACTGGCTATTAAAGAGTGTATTTTGGATAGTAAAAAGAAAACAAAAAGACGGTTTTCAAGAACATAAAAGGCCAAGGATCAGCAATAAAGGCTGAAATACTAGAAAGGCAAAGTACTTTATGACACTGGGAAACGCAAAGAACTCCTGGAACAATTAAATAACCCCATATCCAGGTTAGGAATGTTGGTTTGGGATTAAATTAATAAGAAAATGGGGTACATGCACTCCATTTGGAATTCGCATGTGTGCCAAATGGCGTTTCTTGCCGGTTAATCTCCACTTTCTCAAGAAAACAATGTTCTTGGGTGGTTTTTTAACACTCCTAAGAGTAGTTTTTCACTTCCAAGATAAAATTTAAAAGGGTTTTAGTTTTTTGTGCCTCTTCAGGGAGAGGAGGTTCTCTCTCTTCTTTCTAGAGAGAAGGGAGAGCAAAATAACTCTTCCCTCTCTTCAGTTTCAAAAAAACTAATGAAATTTTGATTTATGCCTTGACATTTTGAGTGGAAGATACCAAAATTGAATCATACACAAGGGGGGATTGTTTTTTAGAAAGTAAAGCTAAATATATGGGTAAATGAGAAATTTGCTTCTCATACGTGTGGACTGCTCAACTGTGTTTTAATGATTTTCTCAACGAAGAATTCTCAACGAATCTGACGTGGCGCGTCCAACCTGGCCTTATATGTGCCCCACCTAGTTAAATAGGTGACAAAAGTAGTGTAGCATTAAAAAACAACTGTAGCATAAAACTTCTACTGTAGAAGAAGCCAATATGAAGCTCCTACCTCTTCAGATCTCTCTCCTCTCCAATTTACAAATAATAGCTATTCTTCTCACCCCTAAATCTATCAAATTCAAAACCCAAAGCAAATTGCACCGGTGATTTTCAAACAATTTGATCTCAAAGTAATCAGTTTTTTTCTCCATTCCAATTCTTGTGTTTTTTCTTCCATCAATTACTCTTGTCGTTTCTTCCTTCTCAATCCATTGATGACCGAACTAGAATTTGACCTCGAAGAACCTTCCAATCAGCACTCAAATCTTTAGTACATTCGTGGGAGGAAAATCTATTTTCACACAGCTCGGAATTTTCTTCTTTTATATCCAATTTTTGTTGTCCATCCTGAATACCACATACACTTCAGCTAACATTCTTTTCAGTTTTTAGAACTTATGCATGATACTATACACTCCCTCTGTCCCAAAATTATTGTCCAGTTTGAGATTTCAGTTTTAGTACAATTTGAACTAGAAATGAAAACTCAAACTGGATAATAATTATGGGATGGAAGGAGTATAATAAGAGGTGTTCATCTTACAAGCATCATGATTTGATTTAGGATTAATTTGAGCTTTTTTTTTTATCCCTCGCGCTAATGAAAGAAAAAGGAAAAAGATTAATTACCGTATCAAAGGACCATCCGAGTACTCATTCTATATACGGCAAACTACATTTTACCTGCCGATTTCGGTTCGATTTATTACAAATTTTCCGAGTTTTAATAATAGTTCTACTATATATTCCTTCAAGAGAGGTTAAACATTAAAATAGCTAAAATAACTATAGTTTCCATATACTTCGTTTCCTATTTTTTTCCAGTTTGTTTTTCTTTGCTTTCCGGCCATTAAAAATAAAAACTATTTAGTTTCTCATGTTTACATTTAATTATGACATAAATTAATAAATGAAAGTTAATCCATGATTATAATAATATAAGTCTATTACGCTTCAAAGAAAAATGAATTAATGAAGATTACTTTATTTAAAAAATATAATATAGTTAATTTTAAAATTTTATTATTCAAGTGAATCAAATAACATAAAATAATTAACACGAAGTATTTTTAAAACTTAATTTATGATATTTTTTAAAAAACATTTAAATTGCATAACTGAAAAAAAAAATGGATTGTATGATATTTTTGATCGTTTACAAAAAATTTATGATGATGTCAGTATCTTAAAAGAGAATTTGATAGATTGACTATGAATTATATATTTCTTGGTAGTGATGCTAAAACGAGGAAAGCAAGATAAAACACGATGCTCTATCGGATCTTTTATCTCATGTCTTTGTTCAAGATGAGACATAAATAATACTTTAACATGATAAGACCCAAAAGATTTCTCTACGTGCAGCCTAAAGATTCTACTAGAACACAAAAAATTCGTTCCAAAAATAATTAATTGTAGTTGATGAAGCAAGTCATTGTAAAGTTGCTTTTAGAAGATTGGACAACACAAATTTCTAACCATCTATATTTTTCTTGTATAAAGAAACCGGTCATCTTTACCTAGCCAGGATTAGAAATTGTGGTATAAATCCATTGTTTGATCTAAATAGCACTATCTTGATCATAAAGACTCGTTCTAATTCGTTATAGTAGCCCACAAGATAAAGAGTACCAACCAGACAAGAATAATAATATGATCCTCCTGCTCAAAAGATTTATCTGCAACTTGTTGTACACCACTTGCATGGCGTGTTATAGACGGCGTCTTATAAAACCATCAATATGCTGCAAGATGCAAATTTGTTACTCCCTCCATAACTGAAAAACAATCCATATTAAATTTTAAAATGTGTACGTCGATTATTTTTCTGAACAGGAAAAAATATTTTCTTTTCAGTTAAAAAAATCATAAAATATTCTAAGTAGACACACATGCTCGGACTAATTTATGTACTTACGTTCGAGGTTTGCTATATATGATGAAGATTCAGGAGTCTTCTAATTATCTTCTTCGCGCTAGCTAATTTATAAATTAACTGTATACAAACGTTAATCCTAATAAAGGCAAAGTCATTTCATTGATGGAATACGATTTAACATGAGTAATTTCTTATTCTACCAACTCCATGTCAATTTCTCCGAAAGGGACTTAAGAGAAGAGCCGCAATCAACAATAGATCATGATTGTACCAAAAAAAAAAAATAAAAATCCTGGTCATGGATCCTTTTCATCAATTCTTACACAAAAAAAAAAAAAGCCTCTAAATTAGGTAAAGAAACTGTAAATCACTTCACTCAAAACTATGCACCTAAAAGTGGAAAAAAACATGCCAATTAAGGGCTTCGAAGTGTTGGCACTATCACGCTTTTAGGGTCCCAGTATTACTTCTGGCAACTGACCATCTCTTTCTTTGTCGTTGTTTTTAATTAGTAAAAAGACTTTTCTTTATTAAACCAAAATTATACCTTTGAATTAAGTATTGCTTTTAAAAATGAAATAACGTTGGTTTACAACTGATATAATGAATAAAAACGAAGAGTTTGATCTTCTTATAGTGGATGAAATATAAAAAGGCAACAATCTCTCCCGAGTCTCGGAGAGTTAGAACATAAAACGAGGACCAAACTAAAAAGCTTTATAAAGGGGAAAAAAACGCCAGAAAGTTAGACTCGGCCGGATTGGGTTTTTCTTTCCTTTTTTTTTTCCTTTCCAAAGTTTGTTTATTCAAAAAAAAAAGAAAAAAGCTTGACTACCGGGACCTGAATCATGCACGCCATTAACAACGAAACTCGTTTAATAATTGAACACACGAGAATGATACCTTGATTAATTACTTTGTATATATATACGTCGGAGTTATGAGTATTTTGGTCGTTTGAGGAGCTTAAGGTATCTCAATGGAGACTCTGAAAGAAGGAATAAAGGGATTACAACAAGGAAATTCGATGAATTCGAGAAGAAATGATGAATATATGGAAAATTGCAAGGAAAAAGTACACAACGGTAGATATTAATATTTGTTCGTCTTAAGAAATATATGTATCTTTCGAATGCAGAAAAAAAGAAAAAAGAAAAAGAAAGCTCTAGACTAGTACGGCCATTTATTTATAAATCTTGAAACCAAAATATTATAAAATTCAAATTTTGAGACACGCTATTGATTTTATTCGAAAAAAAAAAGAAGAAAATTCTCAGCACCATACATTTGATACAATTTTATTATTTCCAATACCATTGCCAAATTTTGTTTTAAGAAAATAAAACTAAATTCCATCCGAGTGTAAAACAAAACACGAAAAAGCATTGATG